CTCTACCAGGCAGCAGATACTCTACCAGGCAGCAGATACTCTACCAGGCAGCAGATACTCTACCAGGCATGCTTAAAGGGGCTGCTAAGCATTACGAGAGAAATAGCTGCAAATCAGCAAAGCCACAAAACACAAGAACAACATCTATCTATCTGCCCATCCTTCCATCCATCCATCCTTCCCTGAGCTGCCCCTGGGGCATAGGGTTTGGCCCCATCCTCGCCTTGGGAAGAGCATCCTCACCTTCGTTGAGCGTCAGGAAGAGGACGTTGAGGACAACACAGCAGAAGAGAGAGCAGAGCGGCATCCTCCACCTGGGGGGGTCAACAAGGCAAGGGGGGGGGTCAACAAGGCAAGGGGACTAAGGGTGTACTCACTCCAAGCAACCTGTACCATGCCCAAGCACATCTGACCCCCACAGTCCAGTTCTGTACCATGCCTGAGCTGCGACACAGTTAGCTGGACTCAGGCACGGTACGCATGTGGTGTGATCGCTAACTGTGGCCAAGCACGGAACACAGTCATGACATCAATGACGCAATTCGCACAGGCATGTGCACATGTACACTATACAAGAACTGCACCTGGATGGAACGGATTGGGTAGGTTGTACAGATTTACAGACATGGTGGCAAAGAGATCACTTTGGTCTATGGCAGAGGTGCAGTGTTTGCCGGAAATGTAGACTGATGACAGTATCCAGAAACAACTGGATGCAACTCACAAAGACTCTGAGATATTGGTAAAATACAGAATTACCTGTATATGTGCAGCACGATCAAGTGAAATTCACTGCGTTACAAACTTGACAAATCTACAAGAGGCCCATGTGTCATCGCACCCAAAACGACTCAAATAAGCCACAAAATAAGGACATTAATCATGAATTCCATTCTGTGTGCGATCCACGTTTTTGCTCCCTCCCAGCCAATCAGGAACACCGAATATATGGTATAGGTGGGCTGGGAGCTGACAGGAAGCAAAAACATGGACTGTCTGGGATTCCCCCAGGACTGGGTTGGGAAACACTGGTCTAACTGAAGGCAATCGGCCATCACTGCTAGCCACCATCAGAAACGTCGCATCAACTTAATAATGCTGGAAGAACCATAGAGATAAAGTTGGAGGTGGGACATCCTAGACCAACAGGAACTTTAGACATCAGTCAGGTCTTCAAGGAGGAATCACTGATGAGAGAACGACCCCCATCCATAGCCACTGAATGTAAATTTTACCCATACAAGTTTTCTATCAGCAGTCAGGGACCACTGTGTCTTATCTGAGAAAAGACAACAGCCGTTATCAGAGAAGTACACCATCACCAGTGAGTGACCATCCACTGTTCCTCACTACTTTTCAGAAACACCAGGTGTATTTTCATGCTGACACACACTCACCCCAAGAGGAACTTCACCAGCTCCATGACGTCGTTCACTGGCTCCAGGAAGATCACCATGCGCTTGAAGGAGACGACCATGTTCAGGAGGTCGAAGGTCAGGGGCTTGGGGCTACTGAGGTCAGACACCTCGACGGTACCCGCATCCCTGGGAGAGAGCTGACTGGGGTCGACCCGATCTCCACCGTTCGACAGGCCCTCCGGAGATGCCGTGACTCCAGCCTGCATCCTGCCGAACGCCACGGGTACCATACAGGTTAGAGCAGCCCGTCTGGAGTGTGGGAGGAGAAAATGCTCTCACAAGGATTTTCATTGGACAGACCCCCACAGACAGCGCGACCTGATAGGTTAATCGGCTTAGTTCATCCATCCATGAATCTTCCATAACTGCTTATCCAGTACACCTTTGCTGTGAACTATAAGCCGATATCGAGAAGCACAGGGCTAGAAAACCCTGGACGTCAATGAATGGCAGGACATATACAAGCACAAGGAAGCACACTGAGGGTGACTCAGCAGTGCCACCTAACGGCACGTTTCTGTACTGCTACAGAAACTGGAGGCACTGTATCTGCCTGAAGAAAACTCAGGCAGACACAGGAGAAGATACATTATCCACCCAGAACACTGCCAGAACTCCCACCCGCGCCCCCAGAGGTGTGTGGCCAGCGTGCCGCCCACCAGCTCACCATGTCACCCCCTGCTTAGTTAAGGACTGTTTCCTTCATAGGTTACTCCAGTTCAGAGGAAAACTGACACCTTGAGGTGCACTATATGTAAAGTTTGTATCTCAGTTATCGAGTAAAACTGTGGAATAACAAATCAGGTACAATGTCTGATACTGATTTACCCACACGCAAGTCCGGTGTCTCACATCTTTAAAGGGGTACACAGCATTACATCAATGCTTGTCATGGTGATGATGATGACTATTACAGATAAACCCTTTTAGGACTTATATTACTGAGTGCCATAAATAAAAGAAGTATATCAGATCTAAGTGACTTTGGTGTGATATTTTTTCACTTGGCTTACAGTTTTACTGACCACGAATTTTGCTAAAATTAATAATACGTCAATCTATTGTCAGCTAGTCTGTGTTTCACAGCGTAACATTAAATCAATACCATATTATCGTCGTACAATATTTTAAAATACCATTTCATTTCATACTTATGCCCGGTCGGTGCAGAAATTTGATAAATCTAACGAAACAGTTTGCAATCTAGACATTCTTACCCGTGTGATTGTGCTGCGCACCTCTCCTAACTCAGAAAAATCATCCAAGCTCACCCAAGATTGCCAATCTACCCTTCTGGTCTGTATCACCCCAAGACTCGGGGTAAATAAAGCCGTTGTTTGTGTTTGTGTGCTTCTCAGCCAGGAAGCTGACCAGCTTCACACAGCGACTTCCGCAAGAAAAGAGGCAGAGAAGTCGATAGGAGAGCGCAACGATCGAGAACACAGGTAATCAGGGCGATGGCAGAGCGCATCGATTCCAGAGCCGTGATTTCACTGCATCAGAGGAACAATAACTTGAAAAACCCAGTAATGTGTGTTAAACACAGACAACGCAGTAGATCGCATATTCATAATGACATCTAAGAATAACCCCTTCCCTATTACCCGTGGCCATAAAAAAAACGAATAGAAAAATGGAAACGAAGATCGCATTTTGATACACCGGCCACTAGATGTCCTCAAAGTCACAGAATAAATAACCATCTTCCATGGAGCGTTTCCTACCATAAAGTGCCAGGTGTTTAAGCAGCACGGTTTTAGCGCATTGCACACAAAATGTTAATTAACCATATACGAATAACCTAACAACACGTTCAGTATACGTCTAGATAAATAGATCATATAAACTACCAAGTGGTATTCAGGCAGAACTTGATTTTCCAGAAGGAAGACATACATGAATTATATTGTCTGTACGAAAACTTAGGCGTAACACTAAGAAACCGAACAAAGGCTTCTTACACAGAAGGTCATGTATATATTTTAATGACATTTTAAACAGTTTTTTTAAATATAGTTTTACATATTTTGCCCACCCGGTTTTTCCTCGTAGAATGCGTTTTGATTTTTTTGTGTACAATTAAGGCGTCCGTGAAACTGTGGTCTAAGGTCTCAGGTTCCTATCCTGGGACAGTAACCAGAATTGCCTGGGGGAGATTTCCATTCTCATCCCGGATCTAATACATAAAAAGCAGCCTCTGAATAATGCATTATTAAAATGTTACGTATTAGAATAGTCACTTATTTTAAACGGACTTATTTTATAAAAGGTTATTGTTTTATAAAAATCGGACATTGTGAAAGGGAGAGCATTATTTGTACGCTGAATAGAACATCAACCGCCAGCAGTGTGATGAAGGGTTAGTTGGAAATGTGGATACATAAAGATACATAAAGGCTGAATATGACGGCACCAGGGAGCGTGTGGTTTCTAAAAGGTCTAATGAAATCCTCCAGAGCCCGAAGATCGGATTTATATCACGCGATTTATTTGCACATAAAAAGCGAGATATAAGTTAAAGTGAGTTGCCATGTTCACAGTTATGAAAATGAAGAGGATTTATATCGAGACTGATTTTCCGGTACTCTGTGGGTTCTTTTTTTTCAGAATAATTCATTTACCAAAAGGAATATGAATAGCGGCGATAAATCATGAGTGTCACACAGCTTAATGCTGTATACTGTTGGAGGGCGCGTGCCTCTTAAGCGACTTAGGGGCCATCCCTCGGTGCCGGGGGGGCGGTGGTGGTGGTGGTATATAAATCTCTGTCTAGGGTTGAGTGGTCTATTTCGTTACATTGTATGAGAAATTAAACATGAAGAAAGTCAGTAGTGCAGAATGTTTGTTGTAGCCTACATGCAATGCAGATTATGCAATATAATAATCTCGGGATGGGCAACTGAACCACTCTGTCTGTCTGCTACTGACACTGTTTTCTTTGTTGGGATTAAAATTTGTTGAGGATTAAATTGATCCCAACACGTCTCGCCTCACACTGCTTTGTACCCATAATCGGACCATATGATGCTCGAATATCGACAGTGTGAAGAACATGAACAAGCACAGTCAATGAACACGGGCAATGTGACTGATGTTTTGCAATATTACAATTACATTAGTGTTTAGGAAACAAATGCGAATGGTCATGCTTGTCAATTAGCACTAATGGACTGAAGAGGACCGCGCTATTCATCTTCATGAAAAGAGAACGAGGGAACAAACAATAGTTTTTTTCCTCAGAAAAGCCACTCGCAGGTAGTCATTCATTATTATTCACTTAAATTCGCACGCGGCATTTGAAAAGCGAAAGAATCGATGGCGCCTCAAAAAAAAAAAGAAAAAAAAAGAAAAAAGAAAACAGCTGAAAAGCGGATAACAGGGGTGAGCAGAATTGCGAAGGCAGACACATTGTGTTCCTGACGCGCTGTGCTGCCCCAAATGCAGACACAGCACGAAGCCTGTACCAGGCACTGAGGCTAACACATCCCGGAATGCACAGTCTTTTCCTCTCTCACTCGAGCGAGAAAGAACGAAAGAAAGAATGAATGAATGTTCTTGACAGAGCTCTGCAGTACTTTCCAGAGGCACTGGCCAAAAAAACCTCGCCTTATGGTCGTATTCCAGTGCATGACTCCAGCCCTGTAACTGACACAGCTGACACAAGCTTGTACGGGGTAGACATTAAGTGTGAGCAATGGACTTGGGTTAGGGCCTAATTCCGAAGTGTTACCTTAGTCCCGGAAGGTAAGAGATGGCCAGTCGCTTACCGGACAGTACCAGCGGCTCCAATTCATACAGACTAGCTCACAAACACACTTCTGCATTTGGCACAAGAAGAGTCTCCTATTTAATCTGAATACCAAACCTTAAAACTCCCTTTGAAAGAAATGGATCTGCTGTTGAACCACCTAAAATATACTTTGCGACTTGGAGGACTGCTTAACAGGGGCTGTCGAATAATACCACCACTAGCTGTGTTAATTAGGTCCAGTTTGACCTCATAGATCTGCAGCGTCACCAGCACCACCTGTTTGGTGTCGGAGGTCCACATTTTAGCCACCTGGACGCCATCCGCCCCTGATTCTCTCACACTGAAGGGTGAGGCGAAGGTAGCGCGCCTACTCTGCCAATGTCTGCTCCAGGCACCTGACCCTCCAATGAATCATGGGACCTGGATAACATTCGAAGCATCTGTAGATGAGAAAGTTAACGGGAAGTTACATTTAATATATAAATAAATCAATCAAAATTTTTCCTTAATTAGAGGAGAGATACTGAAGGAGACAGGCTTTAAATGGTGCCACGAAATTCAGCTTTGCAAAGGCGTTATGAAGGACGTGTTTCGGTCCCAAAAGACATATTATTCCGGTTTTAAATATTGAATCATAAATCCCCCATAAGATAGAGAATAGATCTATAGGATGTCGGTGGGCGTTTTGATAGATCGGCCTCCTCTGTCTCTTCACATCGTAATTGTCTTGAGTAAGAAGTGTTTGGCTTCCACACTTAAGACAGCTGTCAAATCTATTAAAAGAAAACAATGACGCCTCATTGTAAAATCTAAATGTGCTTCATGGCGCTGGGGTGTAACCATTTGCATGAACAGAATTTAAATGATAAAGCGCCTCATTATAAAATTAACTCTAAGAAAGCAATACAAAAAGCTCATCTATAGACATGAGTGTCACTACGGGCAATGAACGGGCACGACTGCGCGATGTAGCCAAACTCCAGGCGTTTTTCTTCTAAAGCACAAAGAGTACAAACAGAAAGCAAAGAGAGTTGCGAAATCATCTCAGCAGGTCTCTCTCCGCAGCGTGTATGTTTGTTGGGCAGAAATGTGTCTCCATAGGACATCGTTTCGAAGCACCGTTTTGAATGTCCCGCAGCAGGCGTTGCGTCTGTGAAGGACATCTCAAGGAAACCAAGAGCTAAAAAGCCACATCCGACCTCCACAGCTTTGCCGCACTCCAGCAATTCAGCTCCAGTCTATATGGGCCTACAGTATTTTCGTGTTATACAGTAGGATCCTATCCGACGAGCATGTCATACGCCGATTATCAGAAACGATCGCTGGGTTCTGGGTTCTGCTTGATTGGGATTTCAATTTGCTTCCCTACCCCTACGCCGCGTTTCCCACCAGCGATTATGGCCTCTCGGGCTCCCGGTGGGTGACAGATTTTCGCGGAGCGTATTGATTTTAAAGGAATCAATCTTTAGCAACTAACGGTGCATTGGCTGTTTTTATCAGCAGGCTTGATGTGCGACGGCTTGGGGAACCCCGCAGAGGAGACCCCCCCCAAACAAATAAAAAACAATTAGATTATATCTCTAGGCATTTAGGCATCGGCACGGTGTTAATTTAAGTAGAACCATGAGGGGAAGTCACAGTTAATGTCATTTAGGTCAGAAAGTTACAGCGGTGGAGACAAGGTGGCAATCCCAACAAGGCTGTACCCCACTTCATACAACACATTGAGCGCCCCCTTCACCGCAGAAAGTCGCACCCATCATTTAAAATCCTTGCTGCCTTTACCACAGGAAAGCATTTCACAGTAATCGCCTTCATTCGCTTATTATTCTTAGACACCCCGCCAGCCGGATGTGGTATTGTAGGCAGGCTACTTGAAAATACCACGCTGGGAATGCATAATAAAATAAAATAAAATTGCAAAAATAGTCTTCCTTTAGAGACCACCTTACACACAGTGGGTAACAATTACCACAATAAATATATTTTATTACAGGCGGTTGGGGTAAAACAGATCACTTTGTAATTCAATCGCATCGTCATAGATTACTTTGTTCGGGAGGTTTTAAAAATGTACTAATTATTCTGTTGCACACACCGCATCATTGTGACTCAACAGACGCGTATGTGAACTGATCTGATCATCAAGCGCCTGGATTTACTGCGGCTGCCGGTGGTCCGGTAGTCTCCGTACATCCACAGAGCTTTATTTTTCTATTTATTTCTGTCGATCGCACCCCTCCCCCATCCCACGCTCACTCACTCTCCGTCACTCGCCCTCGCCGTTTCTGTTGTGGTACAGAAAAGCAGGAGAAGTACCGCCGTGGCAGCGCGATACGGGAGGAGACCGGAGCTGAAGTTGACACAGCCTTTGGAAATCCGCACCGGTGATGCACAGAAGACTGACACCGATAAAGAATCGGGCATTAACTGTATCTCATCTCTGGCAGCAGCAACCTGTGTTTGCGCTGTTGCTTTTTTAAAACGCCGCTCTTCGTTTTGGAGAATGCGACTACAGAGTCGCAACTTTTGTGGATACCCGCGAGATATCTGGAGCGTCGTTTGAAGATCAGACATTGGGATTCAAAAATAAAATAAAATAAATAAAGTGGGTTTTCCCGGGAAGCGCACGGAGGTGAGTTTGAAACAGCGGCTTTTGCACAAAAAAAAACAGGATGCGCCTCATAATGGGAATGCGCCGGTAACTGGTGCTGCAGTTGCTGGGGTTAAGATGCCGTTTTTAAGATGCCGTTTTAGTTCAGAATGTCTCGCACTCTTTGACCGAAGAAACTCTAGGTGTGTAGTAAAGAGCAAACGGGATTTCTGTTGTACCACGCCGCATCATTTCATTTCTGTGCTCGCGTGGGAGAGACGAAGGGCTCGTCAAGCTATGGAAATATTAAAAGGATGTCACGTAATGATCGAAACAATGTCACCTCGTCCGTCTGACTTACACCCAGGAGTATTGTGTATGCGTTTACTTTGTAACCGCATGATTTCATTGACAGTGATGAAAAGTTAAGTGAATTAATTTATTTAATGTCACGAGTTGTCTGGGTTGAATTTGAAAACAATCACTTAGGTTTTAGTACTTTTGGATACAAATTTGCTAAACAATTCCTCTTAAACAGTACATGCACGTAAAATATACCGCGCACTACAAAAATTAACTTAGGTTTAAAATGAAAAACACACGAACAAAACCTAAAACTAGAATCAAAACAAAACTTTAGTTTTCACATTATTTACCCCGTAACAATAGCTGTATTGCGAGTTTGCGAGTCTTTATGTATTCGTAAATTAATACCTATCTGTCTGAACGCTTAAGTTGGTTTTGTTTTGGTTTAATAAAAAGTATTGTGGTCTTAGACGAGTCGAGCTGAGAGAAAGCAGAGATTTCATTAATGCTGAAATGATATTCTTTGTAGGCGTCTAGATTGTGTTCTTAATGCACGTGTATGCTGAGGTTAATGAATCTGCAGTTCGCCTCGCGGTGCGTCTTATTACAAACTGCGTAAATGAACGATCGACGTCCCGTGGTGTGTCTGTGTCTGTGTGGGAGGGGTCATGTCGTCTTATCTGACAAATAAGCCTTTAATAGCGCTTTAGCAAACCATGTGGTCATGTTCAGAGTTGGTTTGTTTTCCCTTGGGGGGGCAATAACCTAAACTGGGAAATGACAAGCCCACTGGTCTTTATTCTTACCTCCTCCACTGAAGAGGGACCCTGATGCCTGCCCCTGCACACGGTTAAGGTCCTTGCTATACTGTACTGCACTGTACTATAGTGGGCAGTGGTGGCTTAATGGTTAGGGAAGTGCACCTCGTAATTGAAAGCTTGCAGGTTCAAATCCCTGACCAGCAAGGTACCACTGAGGTACCCTGAGTAAGTTACCGCCCCCAAGCACTGCTCCCCGGGCGCTGAATTAGCTGCCCCCTGCTATGTCACATATGGGTTAAATGCAGAGGACACATTTTGTTGTTGTGCACTGTGTGTTGTGGTATGTCATCAATGACAATTAATCACTAAATTATCTGTACTATTCTATAGTCCTCCTCAGTGTTACTGTGATCTCCATCTCTGTTTCCCCTCCCCATATAATACCTCCACTCTGTCCTCCTATTGGCGTGCCACGTGGTTTGCCACCCCCCCCCAGGAATGAGCCTTACAGTCTCCTTCGTACCAGCTGGCTCCATGCCACGGGGGCCCCGAGGTGACCTTGCAGGTCGTTGGGTAAAGGCAGCACCGTCATCACTGTGACAGCTGTGAGGTCATGGTGTCACACTTACCCGCAGCGATCCACCCTGACTTCTGACCTGGGCGCATCAAATCTTCTTTGCAATGAACCGGGGGGGGGGGGGGGGGTAAAAATTACAGGACAAGCTACAGCTGCGTCACTGACGGACCAAAAACACAGAGACGCTTCGTTTTTCTCTCATCTTAGGAAGCGAGGCCAGACCGCCACTCTTCTCCTCGGTGTGACAATGCCAAACCAGAAGAACTATGGATCCCCACAGGGGACATAAGGCACCTGAGATACTGGGCTCACACACTCTGCCATATGCAGCCACTGAGGTGTCTGATGCTTCTCCTTGTGGCTGCATTTGTTTCACGGATAGCTTTGCACTCTGCCGAACAGCGCAAGGATGCTGAGGCCTGTCTCAAAAACATCACACTTACCTTACAAACAATGACGATGTCACCATTTGGGTGATGGATTTTAAAAAAAAGAAAAAACGGGAATCTTATCAGCAGTTCTTCTTAAAAAGGGAGCAGCAGCCGGTCTTACGAGGATCCCTGTTATTGTTTCTTTACTCCTGTTCACCTCCTATCTGTTTACACTCCTTCTTTCTCTTCTATTGCGAGATTTGCAGAAGGCACAAGGTCTGTTCCAGCTACGATTAGTGTTGCCTCCGCGAGCCGGTACGTGTGAAATCTTGAAAAGCCGCATCACGAAAGGTAACAGGCATAGCTGGCTTCAGATGAGGAGACTATCTTTACATCAGGTGTGTATTAGTCTATTAAAAATAAACAGAGGTTCCCCCTCCCCTTCTATGATTTGTACCATGAAAACCTGTGAAAGATAAACATTGCCTGGCCAAAACATGCTGCCCCCCCCCACCCCCGCACCTCCACCCTTCCAGCTGGCGTGAAAGGGTCTCAGCCGTCGTTGAAAAGAGCAGAGGCGGTAATGAGATTCGCGTGCGGTTTTTTAATCAGGCGGCTCTTCGGGCGCCTGGGGGAACGAGGGCACTCGCGGCTCACGGCCAGCCAAACGAATGGAGGCTTGCTGCTCTTCGCCGTTGCGTGACTCCTCCCTTTTTCGCAAGTTTCCGCGGGCTCCGCGCAGCCTCCTCCACCTCCTCCATCTCCGCTTCACGTTTCCCTCGAGCCGGCCTGGACGGTCTGCTCCCTGTAAGCGCCGGAACGCCTTTGGCGTGATGAGGAAGGCTGGGATTTCACAGTTTGAAAGTACATGAGGGCCTGGAATCGCGGCCCGCTGAGTACAACGGGAACCACGCAGCTCGCTGCAGACAATGATCCATCAGCACCCACACTGCTGCCTGATCAGGAGAACGCAGGTACCTTACAAACTGACCCTGGTATTGTGTCCTGAAATGAAGTTTTATTTGCCATTTATACCTAAGTACCTAAACAGGTACACAGGAATGTGTTAGTCTTTGCATATCCCATCATGCTCTCCTTCTTTACAAGACATACACACATATATGGAGAAGAGTGAAGCTTGTGGTTGGAGAGCAGAGTCAGGGTCATCCAGCACCCCAAAGTATTTTTCAGGGGGGCTCAAGGGCACAACCTGAGATGTGGCTACTTTGCCAAGCACGGGATTCAAACCAGCGACCTTCCAATCACAGCACAGAGGCCACACGCACTGTGGGGTGGAAGGTGGAGTGCTTTGGCCACACTGCCCATTCTCTTAATACTCATAGTCTCCTTCATACTCATTATGATTCGGTTAAAAAAAGAAACTCCAGCCATAAAATCAGTGCAAAACAACGAAAGGGGAACAGCCAGCATGGATCTGGTGGACACATGATCCATTTGGGCTCCTGTGACAACGTAACTCTTTGTGAAAAGTATTATAATACCTCAGATTCTGTCCGCAACGCTGTGAGCACAGAGTATAATGGGGATGCAGCCTATCAGAATTCCAGCAGGTGCATTATGGGTAACCAGCACCGATGTAAATGTGTTTATGTGAGGCAGGAGCTAACCGAGGCTTAATTGGCTAATGCTAACATTAGCTCAGCAAGCCGCGTGACCTTAGCGCTTCATTAGCTTCTTCCTCATTAAGACTCATTCTCCTGTAACCCAACATCTCCGCAGTCGCAGCACCGCGGTTTGCTTGGGCACTCTTGACATCCCCCCCCCCCCCCCCCAGACTAGGATGCGTCGCCAGCTTTGATGATGCCCGCTCCCTGTAATTCCATGCGCTAATTTAAGTCAGACACGTATTGTGCCACAATAACATTATAACGCCGTCGATCCGCTGGTATGTCACCAGTTCTGACTCTCCCTGTATCAGTGTACATCCTGCATCTTTATATTCCGGTTTAAACATTTCAGCAGCCGTAGAGCGAGCCAGCCTGTCAAAAGGATCGAAAACCCATAATGTGCTACATCGATGCGGAGGAAAGCAGATCGTGGGGGCAGAGCGTGATGTCAGCTGATACCGCCGGGGTGGCCCGGGGTCGCCTATTGATTTCTCATTCCCCTGCCCACCCCATACACGACGGCCCAGAAACTTCTCAACGCCAGGATCTGAGGCAGAGGCGGGTGCAATGGGAACGGCCCAAATGTTGAGGCCGGCCGAGGGTGGCACTGTTGACCACTTGCGTACTGATCTGTTACCTCCGTATCTATGTTTCTCCAGTCTTCATGAGTGGCAGATAATTAAGGAAAATGCCCAGAGCAAAAAAAAACAGGAAGTCATAACCACTGACCTTTGGATGGCCGGAGTTCAATGTAGCCGGTCCCAAGCCAGCACCTGATTGATTGATGAGCCTCAGAATGCCAGGTCATTTCCCCACTGCAGCTGCCTGGCCAATTTGAATCCTGGCATTCATCCAGACAGGTGCCCCCCCGCCACTATGCACCCCACCCCTCCTCTCTCGGAAATTCAGAATGTATCACAGCAGGCTGAATCACAAGCTTCTCCGGGACACCGTGACGACTTGTCGGGGTGTTTTTTGGACATGTACCCAGCGTGTGTTGTTCCTCAGTCGTTTACATCAGAAACAAGAATGAACAACGAACAACGAGCGACTCCAGCAAGGTTTACGGGCCTTCCAGCTGCTGAAAGGACAGTTTGCAATGGTTATTTTTTGCTGATGCATTGTGGGTAACTCTCTGAATTTCTGTGCCTCATGGAATGGACAGGTGCACTAAAAATAGAAGAACAACATGTTAGTTTTATGCATAGCAACATTGTTAGCGAGGTTTTTCTGCATGTACAACGATGTATTGCAATGTTTTTCAGTATAACTACATTGTAATTAATACACTTCTGGGGCTGTGATTTTCACTTTTATCCCACATCAGTATGTGTGGAGACTGTATGTTCACCTAGTGTTCATCTGTACTGACTGTAGGTGCAATGAAAAGCTGTACTTA